TGCGGCCTGTCGGCCCGCCGGTGTCCGCGCCGAAACCGGCTACCCCGGGCCCTCTGAGGGTCGGGTCGGCGCGAGAGGGAGCTCCGCGAAGTTGCTGTCACAGTTGGTGAGGAAAGCACACGTCAAGTCTCCAATAAGGCAGACTCGGGGCGAAGAATCCCCCAACAGCAACGTAACCCACGGCCGAGGCTCTGCTTGGGCCCCGCGTGGAACTGGGCTCCCTCCCCTCCGGTCCGGGGAAGCGGCGCCGGAGAACTCAGGCTGCCGTGTCGCCGCCTCAGGGCGGCTCCTGAGTTGAGGGGCTGCCCCCTGGTGGTCAGCGCCCGGCCTTGCACCCCGTGCCGGGCGGGATTCTCGGCGGTCCACGGAGCTCCACCAAGAGAACTGAGTCTGGGAGTGTAGGCAGAAATGCCGCCCAGTGATGTGCTTGCTGGGAGGGAAACGTGCCCGTTACAGCACCAGACACGTCCATGCTAGCTAAAGCTGTAGAGTGGCTGCTGCTTGGATTTCTACCTGAAACTGGTGGGAAGGTCAAAATCAAGGTTGAAGAGTTCTAAACTTGCCGCGAATCTGATTTTGCACAGCTTTGTGCAGCAGATGCGCTGTTTTAACTTTTATGGAGTTTTTGTTTTGTTTTAGGGGGAGAGAGTGACAGGTAGCGGTGGGGACACGCGTGCGTACTTGAGTGTGATTATGGAGAATGGGGCTTTAGATCCCTATTTTATAATCCCCCCACCCCCGTTTGGGGCTAACAGTGGTTATACATGTAAATCATCGCACTGTTCATAAAGTTATCGGATGTATCTGTTTTTCTTAAAGGTTCATGACTGTCTCTTTATAAGCATTATTTAAAAGTGGCAGTCAATCTTACATCCTCATTGAATTTTAACATGTTGAGGACACTTCACTCATATTCTCTTCTGTCTCGGGGCTTATCGAGGCCAGTGCCTTCACCAGACCTCGAGAGCCCCATATTCTCTTTGTAAAATAGGTAGCACCTCCTCCAGGATCTTGCTGTCGAGTTCCCTTTTATGTATTTTCATTTTTTAAATCTCTTTTTGACTTCTTCCTGGATAAAAATATACTTTGGTAAACTCCGTGTCTTGCCTCTCTGTATAGAACATGTCATTTCTTTCCTGCAGCTCCCCCTCCCCTTTGCCAAGAATGAGGTTCAAACCTCACAGTCCAGCTTCTGCTTCTTCCACTTCATTTCCTTCCCAAGTCCAGGCTGCACCCCTGCCTCCCCTTAAGTGTATGTACGCTGGGTAGTGCTGACTGACTCTTCATTTTCCCTCTTTGGTGTTAAACTAACATAATGCTAATTATTACTCTATTTCTCTTTGGATCTTTACCAAAATATACTTTCAGGATTTTAAAGCAGTTATTTTTTTTTCTTCTTTGAGAGTGGGGGCAACCAGGAATGAAGTGCTGATACTTATTTTAATATGTTGTGAAATGCTTTTTGTTATGGGCTGAATTGTGATTGAGTTAAAATGAGGCCAGTGAGGTGGGGCCCTAATCTGATATGACTGGTGTCCCTGTGAGAAGAGGAAGAGACACTAGGGATGCCCTCACAGAGAGGACAAGCCATATGAGGACACAGTGAGAAGGAGACATCCCTAAGCCACTGAGAGAGGCCTCAGGGAAACTGACCCCTGCTGGCACCTTGATCTTGAACTTCCAGTCTCCAGAACATGAGAAAGTAAATTTCTGTTCTTTAAGCCAAAGACAACTCAAAATTACCTAATCAGTAAATTCTAACAGTAAGTTAGTGGTTAAATTAAGCTACATCATACAGTGGAACACTTTTCACCTGTTAAAAGGAATGAAGTAACTGCAGGTACTAGTATGGAAATGTTTAAAAGTTTAATGTTTAAAATGTGTTGGTTAGTGTGTGTAATATTATCTTGTTTAATATAGAAAAGGATTTTATAGAGACACACAGCTTCTGTGTGTGTGTGTGTGTGTGTGTGTGTGTGTGTGTGTGTGTGTGTGAAGAACTTGATAACCATAGTTACCTCTGATAAGTGATTCCAGGGTGTTTGGGAATGGAGAATACTTTTCATCTACTGTAGTTCTTTTTAAAAAATATATATTAATTATTTTATTTATTTATTTTTGGCTGTGTTGGGTCTTTGTTGCTGTGTGCGGGCTTCCTCTAGTTGTGAGCAGGGG